TATGTTCCCCTTTTTCCCCTTTTGAATTGTTCGCCACCCTGAGTCCTTCCCGGAGAAGGGCGGCATACAAATAATAAAATTCAATTCAATTCAATGTTCCGTGCTTGGCCTTCTGCAGCTGCCAGAAAAGCCATCACAGTTCTAGGCTGCATAAACAGAGGGATAGACTCAAGATCACGAGAAGTGTTAATACCACTTTATAAGTCCTTGGTAAGGCCACACTTGAAATAATGCATTCAGTTTTGGTCCCCACAATGTAAAAAAGATGTGGAGACTCTGGAAAGAGTGCAGAGAAGAGAAACAAAGATGATTAGGGGACTGGAGGCTAAAACATATAAGGAACAGTGGCTAGAATTGGATATTCTAGAATCTAGTTTGATGAAAAGAAGGACTAGGGGTGATATGATCCGGTTGAAGTGTTCCAATATCTCAGGGGTTGTCATGAAAAAGAGGGAGTCAAGCTATTCTCCAAAGCACTTGAGGGCAGGACAAGAAGCAATGGGTGGAAACTAAACAAGGAGAGAAGCAACTTAGAACTAAGGAGAAATTTCCCGACAGTTAGAACAATTAATCAATTGTTAATCCATTAACAATTAATTAAAAACAACTTGCCTCCAGAAGTTGTGAATGCTCCAACACTGGAAGTTTTTAAGATGTTGGATAACCATTTGTCTGAAGTGGTGTAAAGTTTCCTGCCTGAGCAGGGGGTTGGACTAGAAGACCTCCACGGTCCCTTCCAACTCTGTTATTCTAACAGATCCAATTAGATAGAAAGGCAGGAGAAGCAGTTTTGCCAAAACGCTGAGATTCCCTGCCAAGATTTTAGCTTGGTTTTGTTTTCAGGCGGCTGGCAACTACCCAGAACCCGCTGGCAGCCCCATAGATCTTTCAGTGGGGTTTTCAATTGATGAAACTAAACGTTCTTTTACGATGTTGCAATCCCCTAATTCGGGTTAGAGATGTGGCGACTGGATGGAGTTCAGCATTTGCTGGTCGGATGCCCTCCCTGACACCACACAGAGTTCACAGCAGCAGTAGTGCTGTTTTTTCTCCTCTGCTCTACAAATAACGCTTTTTCCTCTTCTCCTCTACAGACCACCATCATGGCTGTGGAGTTTGATGGCGGGGTCGTCCTGGGCTCTGACTCCCGAGTTTCTGCAGGGTAAGGGCTGAAGGAATATGTGTATCTTTTTCCTACCTGTTCTGTGGGCGTGGCTTGGTAAGGGGTCATGTGACTGGGTGGGCATGGCTATGTAGTCATGTGACTGGGGTCAAAAGACAGAAACTCACTTTAACAATGTCCTGCTGGAGCAGGGGGTTGGAATAGATGACCTCCAGGTCCCTTCCAGCCCTGGATTGCTGTGCTCTTTCAAGGTATCTTCTGAAGCTGCATCTAGCGCCAGATTTGTGGTCCTTCCTCCCTCTCCTTCGTCCCTCCCTCCCTCCTTCCTTCCTTCCTTCCTTCCTTCCTTCCTTCCTTCCTTTCTTTCTTTCTTTCTTCCTTTCTTTCTTTCTCAGCACTCCCCCAACGATTATCACTAAGTGTTTTTTTTCTTATGATTTATGATGAACGTACTTTGATGATTATGATCATGATTTATCATTTGTTGCTTCTATGTACACTTCAGCTTATGCACTGGAGACAAATTCCTTGTGTCTATTATATTCTATTTTATATTCTATTTATATTCTATTCTTAATTCTATCCTATTCTATTCTTTATTCTATTCTATTCTATTCTATTCTATATTCTATTCTATNGCTTTATTTTTACATTTTTCGATCTTTTTCGTCGCGCTGTGATGACGTCACATACGCGCTTTTGTCGACCGCGCTTTTGTCATCCGCGGTTTTGTGGTGGAACCGTATTTCCTGGTTTTCCGAATTACTCAAAATTTCTACTACCGCTTCTCCAGAACTGGTCAGAACCTGCTGAATACCATCTCTGGACTGGACAGTCACTTGTTGGAAATGCTGTAGGGCAGGGGTGTCAAACTCTGTTTCATTGAGGGCCGCATCAGGGTTGTGTTTGACTTCAGGGGGCATGGCCAGCTTGACTTCACTCAAGCTGTGGTGCCCTGTGGTGGCCTGAGCCCTCTGCCAGCAAAAATTGACTCCTGAGCTCCATTTTCAGCCACAATGGCCTAAAAAAGAAACAGAATTGTGGAGGAAAACCCTCAAAAAGAGCTTCATGCTGAGCCAGAAGCAGAAGACCCCCAAAGGAATCGGGAGATGGGGTGGGGAGTCTTAGATCCACTGTTTTCAAAGCTGCAGCTTCCCTGTCTGTCTGTCTGTCTGTCTGTCTGTCTGTCTGTCTATCAGAATAGAGCTGGAAGGGACCTTGGAGGTCATCTAGTCCAACCCCCTGCTCACACATACTAGGGATTTGAACCACCGAACTGCCGACCTTTCTAATCGACAAGCTCAGTGTCTTAGCCACTGAGCCACTCTTGCAGCCCTCTAGGAGCTCTGTTTTTACTAGCAGAGGCACTGCAGGACGGTCCTTTGTTGTTTTGCTGCGGCCCCAAAGGCCAGATCTAAGTACCTCACTGGCCGGATCCAGCCTGTGGGCCTTGAGTTTGACACCCCTGGTATAGGGTCACCTATGTGAGCAGGGGGTTGGACTAGAAGACCTCCAAGGCCCCTTCCAGCTCTATTCTGACTGATTGGTTTATAGGTGGGGAAGATGCAGCTTTGAATACAGTGGATCTAAGAGCCCCCCATCTCCCAATTCCTTTGGCGGGGTGTCCTCTCCTCCTTCTGGCCGAGCATGAAGCTCAGTTTGGGGTTTTTCCTTCCACAAAAGCCTGAAAAATAGAGCAGGGGAGATAGTGGGAGAGGGGAGGAAGGACCAACAAGAAATGGAAGTACCATATTTTTCGGACTATAAGATGCACCAGTGTATAAGACGCACCAAGATTTCGAAGAGGTAAGTAACAAAAAACAAGTGTTCTACTTCCCTCAGCCCCCAGCAGCATTCTGCAGGCTTCAGCAGGGCTGGAGCAAGGCACGAACTCCCCTATTTTTGCCTTCCCCCAGTCCTGCTGAAGCCTGCAGAGTAATGGTGGGGGCTGAGGGGAGGTAAAAAAAGCCTCCATTTTTGTGAAAAACTGCTCGTTTTTCACAAAAATGGGGTGCGAGGACAGTGCTTCGGGAGGCCAAAAATAGCTGTATACGGTGTATAAGATGCACCAACATTTCCACACTCTTTTAGGGGGGGAGGTGCATCTTATACTCCGAAAAATACAGTAATTCTCCTGTCACTCAAATGGTCTGCCATGGTTATCCTAAGCTGCCTTGTAAGTACAGGTTGCCCTTTACTTAACAATCATTTGTTTAGTGACCGTTTGAAATTACAACGGTGCCTAAAAAAGTGACTTGTGACTATTTTCCACATGGCCGTTGCAGCACTCCCCACGGTCGCACGATCAAAATCCAGACGCTTGGCAACCTGCCTCTATTTATGACGGTTGCAATATCCTGGTGGCATGGGATCACCTTTTTCTGACCAAAGTCGAGGAAGCAGCCGGCTTCACTTAACAAACCACGTTGATAACATCACAACTGCCATGATTCCCTGAACAACTCTGGCAAGAAAGGTTGTAAAAAGTGTGGGGGGGAACCTCAACCCACTGTCTCACTTAGTGGCAGAAACTTTGGCCTCCGTTGCGGTCATAAGTCGAGGACTATCTGTACTGCTTGGTTTTTCTCTGCAAACCGGTTCAGTGGGTGGATATGTTGGCCGTAAGGAAGCAGGTGTTCTTTTATCTAGCTACAAAGTCGCTGATACAGCTGATCTTTGAACCTTCCACCCACCTGGGATGGGAAAGGCGCGTCCTTCTGTGTACGCTGTAAAACTCTGTGTAAAGTCACAACCGGCCCGGAGAGACTTTTGCTATGCTGCAGGCCAGCCTTGGCATGTTGAATGGACTCGGGGCTCCCTGCCAGCTCAAATTCCCCTGCATAGCTTCAGAAGGAGTCATGTTCTCCTCCCACAGACCCATTACCTCCCACAGACCACCTGCTGCCAATTACCTCCCACAGACCCATTAGATCACACAGGGTTGGCCTCCTCCGGGTTCCGTCTACTAGGCAATGCCATCTGGCTACTACCCGGGGGAGGGCCTTCTCTGTGGCAGCTCCGGCCCTCTGGAATGAACTCCCCGTAGGGATTCGGACCCTCACCTCTCTCCAGGNATTCTATTCTATTCTTAATTCTATTCCATTCTACTATATTCTATATTCTATTCTAATTCTAATTCTATTCTGATTGCTTTCAACGTCTTGCCTTCCTCTTTCCAGGGACTCGGTGGTCAACTGCTTCTATAACAAGCTGGTGCCCCTGCACGACCGGATTTACTGTGCCCTCTCTGGCTCTGCGGCTGCTGCTGAGGCCATGGCTGACATGATCAATTACCAGCTGGAGCTCCACAGGTGAGGAAGTCTAAGGAGCTGCTCACGGGAGCCCACCGGGGTCCTCCCCTTCCACGGAAGCCCAACCCCAGAGTGGTCTCCAGCTCTGCCCGTCTTCTGGCCCCGGAAAGGAAAGCACACCCAAGGGGCACCAGCTGTCAGGGTTGCAGATCTGTGGAGGAGGAGGAAGAGAGATCAGCAGGGCACAAAGTGGGATCTAGATAGAGTAGGCCTGAGCAGGCACTCCTGATCAGTGGTGATCAGGGATGAACAGGAGAGAGAAGGGTGGAAATTAGCCACCAAGGCAGTCACCGGACGATACGTTCCTCATCTTCAGGAGGTGAGGTCTCTAGGGGTGGGGTCAAAAAAGTCAAGATGGAGCCTCGAAACCTCTCATTAAAGCTTTGAACTTCCCGATGTACATAAAACAGATCGGGCTTTCGATCACAAGGTGGTGTTGGCCATTTGGGCTTTTTTGACCGCTTCTCTGTGCCTCTCAGTCCTCCTTCTTCTGCGGACACAAATGTCTCCTTCCCCCCCCTCCCCAGGGGGATCTTTGTGAGTTTTATGTCTCTTCAGAGACTCCTATTCTACCCTGAAGCAAATAGCATTTGGGGTGTGTGTATGCGTGTGTGTGTGTGTGTTACATTTTAAAATGCTCCAAATCACAAGAGGCAACAATATTTCCACCCCTGAACTTTGTGAGATTTTGGTGTAAAAAAAAAGCAGTCTCTCTGCTCATCTTCTGTCAAAAGCCAAGTTTCATGTCAGAAAAGTGAAAGGGAATTTAGAATTAGAATATTTAGAATTATTAGAACTAGAATTAGAATTAGAATTCTTTATTGGCCAATCTTGATTGTACACATAAGGAATTTGTCTCCGGTGCAGAAGCTCTCAGGCAGAGGTGGGTTCCTACCAGTTCGCATCTATTCGGTAGAACCGGTTCATCAAATCTACCGAACCGGTTAGAAGAGGTTCCACCAGTGGACCCGGGAAGCAGGCCACACCTACAGAAGAGGTTGCAAAATTTTTTGAAACCCACCACTGTCACACACACACACACACACAGACAGACAGACTGACAGAGAGAAAGAGAAAGAAAGGAAGAAATAAATAAATAAATAAAAGAAAAAAGAAAGAGAGAGAGAGAGATGAAAGAAAAAAAAGAAAAAAGGGACAGAGAGACAAAAGGAAGGAGAGAGAGAGAGAAAGAGAGAACACATGGCCGGCAAGCCACTCCCACAAAGGAGGCCACACCCACAGAGTAGGTTCCAAAATGTTTTGAAACCCACCACTGTCACACACACACACACACACAGACAGACAGACTGACAGAGAGAAAGAGAAAGAAAGGAAGAAATAAATAAATAAATAAAAGAAAAAAGAAAGAGAGAGAGAGAGATGAAAGAAAAAAAAGAAAAAAGGGACAGAGAGACAAAAGGAAGGAGAGAGAGAGAGAGAGAGAACAAATGGCCGGCAAGCCACTCCCACAAAGGAGGCCACACCCACAGAGTAGGTTCCAAATTTTTTTGAAACCCACCACTGACACACACACACACACACACACACACACACACACACACA